GTTGTATGTGTGTGTATTGTTCTCTTTCGTTGCTATGGTCTGGAAGGGGGGGGGGAAGCCGCAAAACCTTGAACTTAAAACTTACACTCACCATTTTCTTCGAAAATATACGTGAGTTCCACAAAATAAATTCATTGGAAACCCAGTTTTATTTAAATAGGCATTCCTTGGAGAGTTATATTAAAATATTGAAGGTTAAGAGGTTGCTTGTTACTGTGAAAATAGCGTTTTGAGTGAATTCATTTTTTGATCTGTCGCTGAGGGGACCCAGCTTAGTTTCGCAAGAATAATAAAAGATCTCAGATGATTTTGAAACATACATAGATCGACTTAATTTTCAATGCTGAGTACCAATCTGGCTTTAGATTTTTCCTTTTAAATAGAATTCCAAGACGAAATACTACTGATTTTTAATGAAAATCCACGTTTCGATGGTAGTGTTTACGTTCATGAAGCATCTTTCCCCAACATTTTCTCAGCTATACTAAGTGAATTTTCTAGCTAGTACAAAGGGCTCTTTTAGTGGCGTAACCAGATGGGGGCTAGAGGGGGCTCAGCCCCCTCTAGAAGACGTTGAGCCCCCCTACGAATGGTTGACTTCTGTTAAAAAATACCATGAGCCCCCTCTAAAGACGTGAGTGGAAGAGTCTTCGCCCTCTCTACGAACTGGATCAGGGAAGCTGAGCCCCCTCTATCACGTTTTTCTGGTTACGCCTCTAGGCTCTTTATGATAGGAAAATGGTGATATTTGCTCTTACTGTGAAAGAAATAGAAGATCTGCACTGAACATGCTTAATGGAATAATAAGTTTTCGAGATTTTTGAGGACCATATTTTGACTTTATGGTCAAAACGAATGAAGCAAAAAACTCAATAGTTATAGCATTATTGGAGGATCATGTTACCTACTATTTGAAGTAAAAAAAAAAATCTTTTTGTTCTCTTTCTCTCTATTTGAATATGTAGACCATATCATATTACTGATAAAATTGATTTATGCTGAAAAATATGAAATATTGACGCTTCTTAAACTTTTTATTTATCGATGAAAAAATAACAAGTTCCATCACAAAAATGCTTATCTTAGTAAGAGCTCTCAGTTGATAAAAGATAATAAGAGATCTGAGGGAAAATGTCCTAGGGATCATTTTACGATCTTATGACCTTCCCTCCGTCCTTAAATTTACTAAGAATATTCAGTTTTCTCTTATGTCTTATTATTAAATGATATTGATGTTCAAGTCTAACACAATAATTAATAACTATTGTTATATCAATAGTTGTTCAACCAATTCACTATTTTTTGTTACTGAAGTTGAACTATCATGAGTAGTTGATATTAGTTCATCTGTATCATCTTAATGTAATAGATAGTAGTCTACGAATATTTGATTATTTCTAGGTACATAAACTTTGATGATGTAGAATATCTCTTTATCCGATAGTCAAGGATGTCTTTTATTATTTATCGTTTTCTGTTGTTCAACAATGCCAACAGCGTCACATTATACATAAATTAGTATTCGTGTATGTAGTTTATTTGAACTGTATTTTGTTTTATCAAATTATTTTTTCTTTGTTTGCCATTATTACTTGTCTGCTCTCCATATTGTACATTTTGCTATTTTCATCAGTAGTACTCCTCAAGAAAGCACTTAATTAACAAAAACAGTTTAAAAAAAAGAAAGAAAAGAGAGAAAGACGAAAACTAAGTAAAGCCTTCTTATGTTGCACAAGTAACAAGAGAGTCCTTCGATAAACAAACGACGCGCCTCGCATACTATTAACGGTGATTCATTTTCATTTCTTCCGCTTGATATCTTACTACATTTTTCTTCTCTTCTCTATTGTATGTTGTTGTATATATATGTACGTGTCGTTTAGAGACATTTTAATAAGAAGAAACAGATAAAAATATAATAAACTTAAACTCATTGAAGCGAGCAAACATATACGCAGAATTCAACTAAATTGGAAATTGTTGTTGAAGTTTTGAAAAAAAGATTTATTTTGATTATTGCCTCCTGGTAAGTAACTTATGATTATGGCTCCTAAGGAAATTTTCCAAGTTTTTGAACGTCATACGTATAATGTCTGTATGGCTAGAATATTAATTACAAACACTTAAGACAAAAATGAAATAGACATTCACCACGGATTTCCGTTTATCTGATCCGTTAATGGTTTCTTCTTAGTCAGAAGTCCATCTAGTGTATTTACCTGTATGCGTCGTAGTTTTATTGATTATACAGTTCTTTCTTGTAGAACTTTGTCTACACATTGGATGATAAACTTTCTACGTTTGTGTCTCGTTCTATTTATGACCTTTTCGTGATTTTGCATATTGAGATCCAAGTATCGAAATAACATAACTGGTAATTTCATAAGATAAGGACTAAAGATGATGATTTCATGCTTCGACAGTTTGCCTATGAGGAAGAATGAGTGGATCGTTAACAGCGAATGTGACCCCTTCCTGTAATATAGAAGTGCTTGGCAGTGAAACCGAAAAATCTTCTCAGACTGGGTATGGATGGAAAAAAAGTCGCACCCATCCAGGGTGGGTGTGGGTGTGGGTAGGTGTGGTTGAAGAGAGCATTAACAGTCACACTCTCATCCTCATCCAACACCCATATCCACACCCTCAAGAGCTCTATCGTGCCATGTAAAGACAATGATGACCAAATATGGTAGTACTCCCGTTTTAGGCCTGTTGCTTTTTAAGTAGCAGCTAATCTGCTTTGGTGAACAGCTCATCTTGAAGGCATTGTCTATAAAAATGCCTTGGCCAGGTGATATCATGGATATTATAAATGTATTTTATAGATTTTCAACATTCAAATGGCTTCTAGCAATGCTGAAAAAGCAACGCCTGCACTTCGCTTTGCGGATTTCGGTCAGTTGCCAAAACGAATGCTTGCACCAATCGAAGGCTATGAGAATATGCCAATTGTATCGCTCGAAGAAGCTGTGAAACCTCTCGTTGACATTGTACCTAAAGTAGAACGTAACGTATTCATAGTCAAGCAGAACTGTAATGAACCCGAAGATGGTCTATCAACTGATGAATCTGCTTCTATCATGCTTTATACTTACGAATCAATGCCACATGAACATTCTCTGTATGTTATTCTCAACGCAACTTTACGATCCGAACAACGACAAAAACTAACTCCTTGGTTTCTGTATTTGCGACTCGCGTTGACAGCACTGTCTCGTCTTCCATCCAAACATTGTTTTGTCAATCGGGGAGTTAGAGAAGATCTACGAGCACAATATCCGATAGGTAAAACTTTCATTTGGTGGGGATTCTCGTCGTGCACATCATCTATCGGAGTGCTTGAAAATGAACAGTTTTTTGGAAAATCTGGCACCAGAACTCTATTTCAAATCGAATGCCATACGGGTAAAGATATTAAAACCCATTCATTCATACAGCGAGAAGATGAAATTCTTCTACTACCTGCCAGACAATTCATTGTTCAATCATGTCTTGACTCTGGCAATGGACTTCATATTATACAACTCAAAGAAACAGATCCATTGTATCCTCTTATTGAAATACCAAAGCCTCCAAGTAAGGACTAATTTCAAATAGAGGAAAGTGTAGATCAGAAAGCTAAACAGACTGCCTGACTCGATTCTTGTGTTAAAACCTCTACTGATGTCTTTAAATGGCTATCTTCTCTTAGTCAAATCAAATAGTAAATTGTGTTATAGAGTCTTCTAAATATGGGCCTCGTACGAGATACTCATGCCAAATGAAAATATTTCTGTATGTACTCTGATATTATGGGTATTTATTTGCGCCTCATAACTCATTATGTCAGCTGAACCAATGTCAGATAGGATGCAAATTTCTTATATAAATATTCATTTGATGTTCAATTGAGATTTAAAGTTTACTTCAATCTGATGTTCATGTTCAACGTATATGTATGCTTATTAGATTTAAAGGAGAGAAGTATTGAGTGAGTTCACATTTCAAAGACATTTTCAATTTATAGAAACATTAAATTTGAGTCTAAAATAATCTATCCAAAAAAGTGACACCTGTTTTTTACCTTTATGACATTATATGTGACTATCCAATGTGAAATTGACTCTATTCATATGTTCTCATTAGTCATCAACAAAAACGCACATCAATGAAGAGTATTTCAATAATTTTCGATACTTTTACATAAGATTGCATCTGTTGTTACTTAAAATTAAAGACTTAAACAGATGTGGTTTGACTGCTACTTAGGTCGATCAAAAAGCTCTGTCACTTTTAAAAAAGTATTCATACAAAAAAGGGATATTTCAATTATCTGTTTATTGCAAAAATGCAAAGTAAATGTCGTAATGTCTCATACGAGTTTTCGTTGTCTCAGTCCAATATTGAAATGTCTTTTTGTATTCACTAACATGTTCCAAACTGAGCAGGTTGATTATTATTCCTTTTAAATTTGTTAATTAAGCTCTGAAAAACGTAGAGAATTTCAGAGCAGGTACGCACATATGTATGGAATCATCACTACTAATGAAACTTGGATACATTACCATAATATCGGGTTAAAACAAAAACAATCAAATTTATGGTTCGTAGACGACAAAATCCTTCAACAAGACATCAAAAGACAACAGTAGCAAGAATAATTATGTTTGTTATCCTTTGAATGCAGATAGACTCTTACTTGTCGTCAGAGATTTTCTTGAGTAGATAGTAATGCTAATTATAACCTTATGAGTGCTCAAAACCCCAGCTGGAAAAAATATTATTGAACAAAAGCATCATCAGGTTGAAGTTCTGTGAAGTTCCATTATGACATTGTGATCAGTGTTTGACAGTTGCTCTTATTATTTTTCTTAAAAGAGAAAAAAAATGAAAATATGGCTCATCCATCATACTCTTTTGTAGTTGTCCTTGCAGATCTTTAGTTATTCAGTTATCTTTAAAATAGAGTATATACAAATACAGGTGAAAATATTTCAACCAATTAATAACTGAGATACTCAATGCTAGGCATACTATTGAATGCAAAAAGACATTTTAACATTAGACTGAAACGATGAAACTTCATATGACACATCACAACATCTATCTTGAACTTTTGCAATAAACAGATAACAACGACGGATATTCATATTAGGAAGAAATAGAAACATTTTTCGTCGATGATGCTTCAAAACTTTATCTGTTTAAGCTAAAAATGAAAAGACTTCATTATGAAAATTTTTTTAGAAAATTGAATGATTATATGTATTTTCTGCTATTGGTCATGATCAGCAAAGATAGAAATCGATATTTTTCCACTGAAAACTTTCAACTTCATTAGAAACAAAAGAAAAATAGAAAACTTCATTACACGTACATAAGGTATTTTTGTCTATGAAAAAAACTAAATGCTATTTCACTGGCATCTTCAGATTACTACGTTAGAATGCAAATGTTTATTTAAATCTATATTATTTTTGAAAGAGAAAATATTTCTAGTCTATAAAGTTCAGTGACGTATAGAGATATCGTTTGCTTGATGGTTTACCATTTTAAGGTTGACTTTGATTATCTTAGATATTAACTCTATCTATTTATCAAGGTAAGCTAAGATCATTGTGGCGTGACGTTGATGACATCTTAGTACATATCTGAGATTTTGTTTTTTTTTTATTTTAAAAAATGGATATGCAAAGCGTTCAGGATACGTTTTTCTTTAGTCGTTTCAATAGAAAAAAATGATTATTCCTCTTTCTACTTCTTTCAATGTTATTCCTACTATTCTCTCTTTTACATATATTCATTCTTATTCGATTGTATTTAGAGAAGACTTGTCTAAGTTAATTGTTCACTGTAATTAGTCTTTGCCCCGACTATGTATCCACGTACCATTCAGTATGTGTAATTGATCTTTTAGTTGAAAATATACAGCACTCCATAGGGAACATTTCAACAAAATTATCTGTATTGAGTGAAAATAATGAAGATAGTTCAATTTTCTACGAATCGTAAAAGAAATTTATGTCACCATCAGCAGATCAATGAACTATAAAAGAAATGTCTTCATTCTCGATGAAAATTCATAGTAATATTCATAGAAACATGTCCCTTAAGAAAATTCAGAATCGACTTAAACAATATCATTGTTCTTAGACTATCGAGCACATCGTTGTCATTTACAATTAAATTCTATCGCTCGATTTCAACATTTGGTAGCGGATCTACGTCATCAGCAGGGAAGCAGAAGCGAGAGGAAATCTTTAAACTTGAGGAAAAAATGCTCATATGACATTGAAATATATCTACCGGATGATTGAAAAGTAACTCCCTATTTTAAATTCTTTACTACTTTCGAACAACAAAAGATATCGTCCGAATTTTTTCACTATTTTGAAGTATGGACAATGGCATTTTGTTGCAGATGAAACAAATTGATTGATCGTTTGACTATCGAAGATCAAGCACGAATTTTGTCTAGAAAATGTCTGAAATTAAGTCATTATTTTGAGTACAGATCATTCCATTTATTTTGAAACGATTTGCATGTTTTTTTTTCTTGGTTGATAACTGAGAAAGATCTCATGATTCTCATATCGCTTGATACTCTTAATACGCAACATGTTGTTATAATGTTTATATTTTGGATAAGCGAATGTCCCGCAATAAAATATTTGATAATATGGAAGGTATCGTCAAACGTCTTTTGACGAAAAAGTATTCATATTCTGTGATCCAGCAAGAATTGTCGGAGATGAGTTTAAATGTATTAGAAAGTACCATCAGTCGTACTGCTAGTTAGGCTAAAAAACAGCGCCAAGCATGCTTATTAAATAATTAAAAACTAAAATTTTATCTTCCATGTCATGCAGCAACAGCTATAGTGGGTGGTCGTATTATCTCGTATGTGAATAAATAAAATCCTTCAACAATTACTATAACGACTGCAAGGTATCATACCAGCATTGTTACTACTTGTCGTACCATTCGTGATATTATTCAAGCAAAATGTTGTAAAAAAAAAGAGCAATACATTGATGATTTCCATTTCTTATGGAAATTGGATGGCCTTGACTTCGGTGTATGTATCGTCAATTATGCAAAAAATTACGTGCCAGGTCATGAAGTCTGGTGTTATATTGATGTAAGAGAAGGTATTAGAGATATATATATTCTTAAAAGTAATGAATTACTGTAAGAAGTTAAAGAATCGAACAATAAGATTTACATTCTGTGGTTGTGCTGATTTGGACTAGTATGAGTAAACATAGGAAAGCTCAGTTACGGTTTATGAAATATGGCTCAACCATTACTAGCAGATACTACATAGAACGTATAATAGAACAATTTAGCAAATATGATGTTCCTCGTTTTTTCCTAGTTATGCAGGAAAGAAAAGGATTCTTCATCACAACAGTACCTTTGATCCTATGATAAAAAGACATTTACTTATATGAAAGAGCATAACATCTAAGTTAGAATACCAGATGCGTGGCTATCCAAGATGTTAGATACTCCTTCAACAGACTATTCGATTCAGAAGATCACAAACAACGAGTAGGAAAATACAAAGTGCCAACATCGAATAGCTTGAAAAATGTCGTAAAACGGTACTGTGAAAACTCTGAGCTCCACTAAATCGATAACGCTTTAGAGAATTGGGCAAACCATTGTAGATTAATTTACTATGTTCATGGAACACATATTGAGCATTTATTTCAACAAACGTTTAAAGATAAGAGAATAAAAAGCTTTCTAATTTGTTTCAAAATAAATGGAATGACCTGTAGGTTATTATTCTTATACGAGGACAGATACTATAACAACTTTTGGTTTTATTAAGGGTGGATAATGGAGGAACTTAGGTAAAAATTCGAGACATTATATGCTATAGTACTATGTACACTTCAAAGCAGTAAAATCGTTTTTATAGTATTTGTTTTCTTATAAGAACAATAACCTACTCAAAATAATCAGCCATTTTCACGCATTCTCTAGATCAACTTCGTGCTTCATCCTTAGATAGTCAAACAATCAATCGGTTTGTTTCGTCTACAACAAAATGCCATAGTCTATGCTTCAAAATGGCGAAAAAATCAGAACGATATCTTTTGTTGTTTGAGAGTAATAAAGAATTTACAATACGGAGTTACGCTTCAATCACTCTGTAATGAGAACAAAAAATGTTCTCTTTTGATCACGTTCTTCTACGCGCATCCACAACAAGGGGAAAGTGCAGATTTGGAGCTCCCAGCACCTCAGCACCTTTGGGCACTGCAGATGCTGAGATACTCGTACATATTTGGAATTAGACTGGAAATTAAGATGATAGCTATGAGTGAGGGTCATATTATTTCAATTCGATTTTTTTCAATGAAGACAAGACTGTTTCGAGAAAATAACGATTTTTTTATAAAATTTGACTGAAACTGTTCGGGATTGTAGAATCCGAATCTCTAAGTGGTTTTTCGAAATTCTTGAGTTCGATTTTTTCGCTTACGAAAGGTCGAATTCAAAATAAAAAGCTGAATGTTTTGAAATGTGAATAAACCTCAAGAAATAGGCTTCGTTGATCGAAAAAATGGAAATCAAGAATTTCGCAAAAACCGCT